GTGAAAGGTCCACAAACCATTGAAACGAGTCTAGGTGTTTACAAACCAACACAAAATACAATCTGTGTAGCTTTAAACATTTCCTTGCTTTTATCTCGTGTCTGTAAAGGATGAACAGTTCAATTACACAATTCAGTTACATAGTTATACAGTGCAGTCTTTTCTTTGCCTCGTGTGGCCCATTATTTTCTTTCCCTCGTGTGGCCCCTTATTTTTCGTCGTTAGAGTCAACCCTCAAAATTTACGGGGTATTTCAGCAATTTAAATCTTATTAGCTGTTTAATGAAACTCCTGCCCTTGCATGAAATGCCTAAGAATAATTCTACAGTAGAGAAAAAGAGAAATTTCAAGGGATCAAGGGATCGTGCTACTCACCTCTCTGGGAGGCCCTTGTCAATTGTCGGAAATTTAACGAGCATTACTGACAAGTTTCGGAAAAATTCCCTGGGCGCTTCTAATAACAAACGAGCTATTTTTTAGTTTAATTGCCATTGCATCCTCTTATATAGAGAGAAATTTCATCGCTAAACCATCTACGTAGTATGACGGCGTTTTCGTAATTTCTGCGCGTGCAACCGCTACAAGATGCCTTAATTGGTAAAAACACTTCTCAAAATCCTAAGTGATTCCAAAATCCATCATTTACTCCCTGAAAAGAGACGACGAGTATCGCATCCCCTTCTCATGGGATTCCTTCCCAGGGGGTTATTAACCCTACGTCATGGCTCGGTAATCTTAACAAGTTTAGCCTAAATTTTTCAAGTTCTTCTTTTGTAATCCGTGTTAATCTTCTCCATCCTTAACCATCCTCGTTCCGTTTTGGTGTATTATTGCCTCCTTGGTGTTTTTCTAATTTAGCAAAATATTATTTTGAGGTTTCTTTCCATATAGAGGTAATTTTGTACAGCGAAAAAAAGTGACTCATAAGTCGCGACGTTGCTCCTCTAAGCTCTGCTTAACAACGCTTTACCTGAGTTCATGGATAAGTGCGGCGAATGGAGTGATACCGATTCCTGTTGCTATACAAAGACTGACATCGTATCTCCAAATATCCTTGAAAAAAGAAAAAAAAAACCAATAACAGATATACACGTTATAAAGGTGAGGGATGTGCGCTGTAGACATCACCACTGGGTGGAGATTATAGAGGGGTCTACTAAGCAAGGACTAAACACGGAGCTATGTGCATGTCACCGTGGTTACTGCTTACTTTCAAACCAGAATGAACTTACACACGAGACTGAGATCCAACACAGATCTCAACATCCACACGGCCCAACGACTCCCGACTTAACAACACAACAAAAACAGCAACACTTTCAACAAAACTCAGCTTACCAATAAAACTCAGCAATTCCATTCAAAACTCATCATGCGGCTTCCACACAAACTCATAATTCCAGCTTCGGCACAAAATAAAGCTAGCTTACACATACATTCAGCTCCCTCGAAAAACTTCCAAAACCTTTCTGTACAACACAAAAATATATTCTTACACTCTCGACTTTGAATGCTGCATAAAAAGATGACATGCTAACGAAGATTTAAAAATGATGCCTGTCTTACCATACATGGGCTTCCATAAGGTCCATCAACAGCAATTCTATGAAATGAGCATCACCAAGACTATTAGCTGATATTTTAGATAACCAAACTTCTCCACTGTCAAGAACATTAGCTTTTCAAAAAAAAAATAGCAAAAACAACTTTGGCGATCCTAGAGATTCAAAGGTATAAAAACGGGGTGGAACTGTTCAAGACGGAATCTGCTCACAGTGGATAGTTACTGAAGCTCATTCTACTCAGAAAGTCGATTTAACAAATCGAATGTGGTTTAGCGTGGTCTGTACTCTTATCGACAACGATACGCCTCATCACAGTGGTCAAAATTTGTTGTGGACTCACTCGACTGTGCCTCGTGAGTCCACAACACTTTGACCACTGTGATGACGCGTACCGTTGTCGATAAGAGTACAGACCACGCTAAACAACATTTCGATTTGTTTTTTACCCCAATATCAACGTCCAAGAAAATGTCTTTTGTTTTCAGAGCGCGAGCTGAAAAAGGCATTGCGTGACACATTGACGCGAGCAGCGTTGTCTGGACTCTTATCGACAACGGCAAATTAGCTAATCAGATTGCGAGATTAGTAGCAATTGTGGTAAAAAAGTAAATAAATAAATGAAAAAAACCCACTATGACCTAGGACGTGTCCTTAGACGAAAAAGGGATGTACTAAATTTGAAATTTTTACACAAGTTGAGACTGAAAACACGCTCGCTTCCTGATGATATGATATACTTAATTCAACACACAGGTAGTAAATATGTGCACAGGTACTGGTAAATATGTTAGCGCTTCGTTTTTGCAAGACAGTAATATAATAAAATTAATTTAGTACACTTACTTGAGGCTGGGTCTTACAAAACTAGTGTTTTCTTCATTTTGTTTCTCACAGGCAAGAGTTATGTTGTTTTCTTCCAGTTTGGTAAGAAAGAGCCTGTTAACAAATTTCTCTACATACGAAAAAGAAGTAAACATTTCAATTGGTAGAGAGAACAGGCCAGCGCTATACACTAATATAACAGTTATAAAAATTGGTGTCGGCGAATAGGTCTTTTTTACGATATTAAAAATCTCACTTGGCTCCAAGGTTTGGGGGAATAAAACACAAGAGGTCACACCGAGGTTTTGTTTTTTATTGCCCCAAGCCTCGGAGCCAAGTTAAAATTTTAATATATCGAAAATGGCCTATTTCTGGTTTAACCTGACAAAAATATTGGGGGGGATGAACAGTAATCGAAGGTTCCGACGTGTCATACAAGACACTTCATGTAACGGAAGCTATACGCTGGTACTAGCGTCCTGTAAAGCAAACGAGGAAGTCTTTAACAACAATAGTTAAACGGGGCTTTTCAGTAGGACAGAGACAATTTATTTTTTTGCAAACACTGTGGAGTGTTATTGTGAAAACATTGTGAAAACATTCTTATCAAGAAATCACTAACTCACCCGTCCAATCTCCTAGAATCTTACAATGTATGGAGAAAGAAGAATCTTCTGATGACGGACACTATGGGAATTAACAAGAAAGGCCGTTGTTTCCTTTTATTTACAATGACCTTTGTAACCTTCATCTTACACAAGACTGTAAGCGCAAGTTACGTGCGTGCTTTTTAATTTTCTCCACTTTTCAAATTCCGGTCTCAGTTTATGACAGCATAATAAATGGCTCCACCTTCTTCATTTTTTAATTAAGTACAGGTCGATCGGTCTGACATATTCAATTTGGCCGCCATATTCTCTTCTTTTAACCTTAGCAATTTGCAAATACTCCATCTTGTCGGTATATGACCTGTTTAAGTTGTTTTAAAACAGCTCTTCTGTTTTCTGAAAATTTTGAATCGTCTTTATATAAATAGAGAAGGTGTAAGCTTGTAACTGATCGAAAACGTTTCATCCAGTTTTCTAGCCGATCATGGAGTATTTAATAGACCAGTTTCAACTTGTTTTCTAGAAATAGAAAAAGGCTTTTTCTAGAAATTGATCTTTCGGAAGGATGATCATTCAATTGTTGATTTGTTTGAACAAATACATGTTCGAGATTCTCATAATCACCTGTGTCAGCGTGAACGGATGCCATTCGAATCTTGATACATCTGCACATCTGATGAACACGTACTAGAAACAAAGCAAGTATATCTGATTAACTAATCCTCTCAGTATAGCATACATCACAGTCGGCTTCGCTCTGGCTTTGACGCAACCGTTTAAATATTGAAGATCGGTAGTCGTCTAGTGTGGTCGTCAGGGTGAGGGCATTTCGAAAAGGACAGTTGTCATGGTGAAACTTGAGCGGAAGTTCCTCTTCAGCGCGAGCGTCAAGTGAAAAGTGTTTGTCAGTCACTAGTGTAAAACGTCTGGTCCGTTGAAAGCGTTGTTGTCTAGATCTGTTGTAGCCATATCATAAAAATCGGTAATTAAGGTGATCTGTCAGAGATAAAACGGTTGTCGAACGATTTATTTTTTGAAACTTTTCCTGAATGAAAAGGATAGGCCACCATTCTCGCAAAAGAGGTATGTTGGGCCAGTCTTAACCCATTTATGCCTAATCACGTGCGTTATTTCATCGGTTCACGTTACATTTGGTGGTAGCTGGAAGCAAACTTATTTAAAGAAATAGTTGAAAAAAAAAATTGATAGGTAGAAAGTCTCAAGTACATGCAGCAATAATTTATGACTTATGGAATAATCACACAATTTTATAAGACATCGACTCAAAACGTTCGTCGAGTCGTTGTTTTCAAGGTCATAGTTTGCATCCTTCAGTAACGGTTTTGTCTACGTTTTTAGCTATATCTTTTTAAATTTTCTCAGGGAATTAAAGAGGATAATTTGCACTCCAAAATTATGTAATAAAAAATATAGGTCACGAGCATTTATTTCGCTGTCCAGCTTAGCTAGAAGAAAATCTCTTAATGTTGTGAATGTGCGCGCTATTGACGCGAAAATCGCGTGAGGTCAAGATGGTTGTATATTGGCCGTCTCGGTCCATAAACACGCAAAAAATGAACTTGGCCAATATCCAGCCATCTTGACCAAACAAGCTTGGTCAATAAAGGATTTATTATATGGCTTTCGGGGAAATTTTTCTTGCGGGACTCGGCGGGTAGTCCCGAGCGAGCAAGATAGCTCCATCTTGCCCACTCGGGTAGCCAATCACAGCGCAGGATTTGATTCATCTTGCCCGCTCTCGGAGCTAGCCATATAATACGGATGCGTAGTGCAATGCTGAGAAATCATCTTAACCGGTTTCGTTTGTGACCAGAAAAACACTGACTTGTGGTCCCTGAAAATTGTCAGTCTTCGCGAATTTGTTTCTTCAGGTTTGTTAGTGTACTTCCAACATTCAGTGTGCATTATTCCATTACAGCATTACCTGTCCGGGCTTGGCTGTAAAATTAGGCTTTTTCATTTTAACTTCCACGACTCCATCGCCATGTTGTACCGCCTGAGGATTTGCCGGGAGAAAATATAAATTAAGGTCAGAATTTAATCAACAATTATGTATTTAAGACCAACAGATAAATGTCTGCCAAAATTAGATGGCCCTCCAATTTCCCCTTCGTTGTTTTAGCTGTAAATAATGTCATGGACCATTGTATGCATAACAATGCCTCGCTTTTAATTCTTCTGTTTTGTTTTTTATTGTTTTTTTTTTGTTTGGTTGACTGTTCCGTTGATTGCCTTTGCTGGACTCACCGAGTCACGCGCTTTCGTTTACTAGAATATCATTTTTTAGGCCTCGCCCATGTTAGCTACATGTTCCACCAATGTATAAATTTCTTCCAAATAGTCCAGTTTCGAGTTCGCCATGACCGCTGATTAAAAGCACTGAGAACGCATTTGCACAGGGTTAGCCTCGACCTTTAGTAAAATATTCACAAATTCCAGCGAGATGACCTGTTTACAGCTCTGTGTATTGTTTAATTTTCAAATTTGTGACACCTTGCCGTCGGTATTTGTGAATATTTTTTTCAGGTCGAGGCTAACCCTGTGCAAATGCGTTCTCAGTGCTTTTATTCAGCGGTCATGGCGAACTCGAAACTGGACTATTGTCTCCTCTGAGAGGATCACTGTAACAATACCTTTTCACGCGGAGAAACTCGAGTTCAGCCAGACAAGGCTTCCACAATGTATACATTAGAAATTAATTTCAAATGCAACCATTAGCTCTCGCGCTGGACGTAGATTTAACAGGGAGTTTTAACTACAGAGTAGGGGTGCAGTTACCTGCATTTCCTCACCTGAATTAGTTCTACTCTTTGAAAACTTCTAAAAGCCCTTATTAGCCTCTCCGTTATGTAAATAAGAAGAGGTCCAATGCACCATATCCAGGCCTGTATGTCACACAGAAAACACAAAATTAGCTGAGAAAAAAAATGTACTCCTTGATCCGGTATCTAACGCGTTAACCGTACATTAATAAAGAGTAATAAAGAAACGAACACAAGATAATAAAGACAAGAATAATGGCAAAAAAAATAATTTGACTACGTAACAGTAGTCGAACTTTTTCCAACAGCCATTTCTCTGCGCCAGCCACTACCTCGACAACGGACAGAACTTTTCGTTCTGAACTCAAAATCTCTCAGGAAATGACGAGTGACACCATTATAGATCGATTAGGATGGAAACCGCTCTCTTAGAGACGCGCGGAGCTTATAAAAGATCTCGTCAATAAATGCCCTAAGGGACATGTCCAGGATTTATTTCAATATTTCAACACAAGACGTAGTGACATACACTCTTGTTACACTAGAGGTAACACGAATCTTTTTATTGGTAAAATTAGGTTATTTTAGCTCCTCGGTTTTAAAACCTCCCGAAACGCTGAACCACCTCTCCCCAACAGACAGCTTATTCTGCCTCCGGACGCGTACAAAAGTTCAACTGTACCTTTGGTTTATCCGCTTCAAACTGTGGATCCTGTGAACACCATTCCACGTGACTGATATTTGGCCTGTTGGTTCCATTCCTACATCCTGGCGAGTGTGTATCCAGATTTACTTGGTGTTTTATTATGCCACTGTGAAAGAAAACCATTGGCTAACAATATTGAGTGTTTTGTTTTACTTCCAAACTCAAAAATAGAAAAAAAATTGTGAAAAAAAAAATTATTTGTTTGACGCCAGCTGGCACAACAAATTTGCCGCGCTTTTACATTTGTAAGGTGCAGGACCTGATCAGTTGTGAGTGGAAAGTTCAAGTTAATGTTTCCCTAGGGAGTTTTGACCCACGACACGTGACACGTTCTCCTCCAATCGGAAAACGTATTGGGAGGTATATCAAAGTCAAGTTATTTGCCGACCTCAGTGATTCTAGAAGACACAGCCTTAATCTCAGTAGCTCAAAAATAACTCGAGAAGGATTACCTTTAGAAATAAGAAGATTTAATCTCTTGCTTTAGTACGAAAGAAATGAATGTCTTTACTCACCCGAGACCGTGGACAAACAGAAGTAAGAAGAACACGATAAACAGATGATGAGTATACCAAAACGTCTCATATGAGGTACGTCTACAAAGCAACAAGATAAAGAAAAATACCAATCAGTTAAGGCAATGGGAGTACCATCAAAAGTAATATTTTCATATCTCATTAATACGAAGTGGAAAGAACTCAAAACAATCAAACTGACCATGAACATTCAAAGACGGATTTATTACCTCACAGCAGCTGTAGATGTTATTATCTAAACGAAAAATTACGAAAGTATTTGATCGACGTTTTAAACATTTTATCAACCAGAAGTAATCAATTAATATACATAGTAGATGAATCAAACAACAAACGAACAAATAAATGAATGACTCTGTCTGATTGACTGACTGACTGACTGACTGAATGACTGACTGACTGACTGACTGACTGAATGACTGAATTACTGACCGACTGACTGATTGACTGACTGAGTGATTGACTAACTGATTGACAGACTGACTGACTGACTCAGTAAATGAATGACTGACTGACTGTCTGACTGACTGACTGACTGAATGAATGAATGACTAATTGACTGACTGACTGACTAATTGACTGACTAACTAAATGACTGACTGACTAATTGATTGATTGATAGATTAACTGACCAACAGACTGACAGACTGATTGATTGATTGATTGACTGACTGTCTGCCTGTTTAACTGTCTGCCTGTCTGACTGATTGACTGACTGACTGACTGATTGTCTGACTGACTAACTGACTGAATGACTGACTGTCTGTCTGTCTGTCTGACTGACTGACTGTCTGTCTGTCTGACTGACTGACTGTCTGTCTGTCTGACTGACTGACTGACTGACTGACTGACGGACTGATTGACTGACTGACTGACGCACAGACCCGACGATTCACAGGCGGACTAATGATGTCTTGGTTGTTCAAGGCTATAACCAGCATGCTACGTACCATAGCAAGCAAAAGCAACGTCATCAGCATTCCTGTCAGTCCAACAACTGAAAGAGAGATCAAATGACAGTTTGCTTATATGTAAGCTAAAAACTAAAATTAAACAGAAGTAGCAATCAGCACATTTGCAAAAATTGATCATACATGGCATCAATGTCCTTACCTGAGGTAAACAACAGTTCTAGTGGTCCCTAGAAATAAAATGAATGGCACTCTGAGGAAAATTCGAATCAGACAAAGATTATCTTGAACAAATTGATAGCAGCAAATTACAAAAAGCAGTATAACCACACCACACACGAAAAAACCACTTTAGACGACCACTTACCCAGCCGTACATCACAACAGTTTACATCAGTCTTAACAGAGCTGTATTACTGTTGTGCTATGGTTACTGTCTCAGTTTCGCATCACTGGTAAATAAAGAACTCGAAGACGTTGCGCGAAACAGTAGGGAAGGAAGAAGGCTCGGGAGGAGGCTACAGATGTAGTTTGACTAACGCTCTTTTAACACTTACCCATACACTCGGGTGGCTTTCAAAGAAGTAGTTATTATCTACTTCAAGTAATTAAAGGTATTTGCTACCTACTGCTAATCTCCAGCTATTGCCATAGAGAAATTTTAAAGATTTTCAAGTAGCCTCGTGCTAATAAAGTACGTGTTTCGGTGTACACTGAATCTGTACTGAAACCGAGGTGAAAATATCGAGTATAAATCAAACTCTAACCTGATTAGGATACGAGGCAAAATTCAAATCCTTGAAGTCCATGCTGTAATTGGTAGAAAATCTCCTGAAATTCACTAAATGCGCTCCGGTGTGAATCACTGAAGAAAGAGTGAGAGGGGAAGTGATTGATATCAACACACGTTCGTAACGTTACCAAACAATCAAGAAGAGCAAGCTTAAGCGTTAATGTTCTCAATATATGTAATAATATTTCGATTCGGTGGGCAAATTTTTTTGCAAGGCAGAAGTAGTTCTGGCGAAAGTAAGGCTCGAGAAACCTCGTGCAAAGTTCAACTTGTTTTGTTTAAAGGTATCGGGAGCGAGAACTTTTAGTGTTTGGCGCATACCTTCCATATGTTTTATGGTGAGTTGGGAGAATTAACGCAGCGCAGCGGGGAGAGGGGGGGCGGGTTGTGGGGGTGGGACGAGAGGCATGTCAACGCGTATGTTACGACTTAATAAATTGTCATTCATGTAATTTGGCATTTTTCTTTCATTCTGTTCACTCAGAAGAATTTAATTTGTACTTGGGCAACTTGGTTACCCAGCTTTAGAAACCTGCCGCATTAACGCTTCTGATATCGTTGGAGAAGTCTGTAATTAAACTGGGTCCAGAAATGGGGGATAAAATGGCCATCACATAACGTACCTGCTGAAATAATGATCACAAGTGCACATGCCTTGTGAAACCAGATATTTCTGTCCATTAGGCGTCCAAATACACCGTTAACAACCTATAGTACAAATAAGCCATACATAGGCGACATGCAATGTTACTCTTTTGGTACAATGCTGGAAAAAGAAATTATCATCTAACTAGGTTATTTTAGGCTAAACTTCACTAGTCTTAATTAACGATGATTACTCTTGCTAATTATGCTAATGTTTGTCCGTTAGAGCAGTCTTCAAATGAGTGTCGTAAAACCAAAACCAAATTAAAGTAATCATTCAGGCCAGTCACAAATTACACAGACGATTCAGTGAACAATCAAAACTCAAAGCAAAGACATGTAGCTGACGAAAAACGCGGGAAAAGATGTGCATGAGTCGCGATTGGCTTTGGTTTTACTGCTAATTGGATAACAAAGTGGCGCGAATTCTCTCAGCCAGTCGCTTAGCGTGGTAATTCAAAATCAAAACAAGCATGAATTTTTTTGAAAATGAAACATGTTTTTGACTGTGCTAATACTTGGCTTCACACTAGAAGCTAAGTTAGTTTCAAGTAAGCAGTTGGCGGACTCAATCAAGTGCACTTGAAAGTCTCAAGTCGCACTTTAGAAAACTTGGCTTCACACCTGATGACAAAGTGTGTTACTTGAAGCATTTTCGCAGTAGAACTTGTCAGTTATACATACCACAAATGCGATTGTTCGTCAGTAAAATCGTGAAAAAATGCACATAGTTGCTTTGTTGCTAAAGAGCAAAGCAACAAACGACATCTTCTGTATTTCTCTAGAATGGCTCAACGCGGTTTTCGGCAAAGAAAATGCTGTAGGGTTTTAGCTAACCTAGAAAATGCATTTCCGTGTGACTCGTCTAATGTTCAACAGAGTTTTTCGAGTGCAAAGAAATGACCTGGTTGAAACTTGAAACAGCAGCTGGTTTGTAATTTCAAGAAGAGCATTTGGTGTCGGATGATATGAAAAGCGAAGGTTTAGGCTGTCTATGAAAATGAAATTCAAGCAATTAAGTCGTTTATCGGTCCGTTCATCAGAATTATAGCAACGCTGTACATCGCTTTTATTTGGCTTCCATTTCCTATTAGTCAAGTGCGTTCTCAAGTGTGGTGTAGACCATACTTGGCGGTGCACTTCGGCTTCTTTGATCTACGAACGTCTCCATGGTCACTAAGTAAAGTCCAAGTAAGTGCATTTTACCCCTTCACACTCAAAGTAGGTTCCAAGTGCACTTAGATTATACTTACAAGCTCTAGTGCGAAGCCAAGTAATTTAAAAGTACCTGCCTTAACAGTCAGCTTTAAAATTGACGAGAAAACTGCTCTCCTTTCTCAGTTCAACAAGGTTCAGGTTCTCATGCAAATAACGGCTGGCGTTGTTTGTCTCACCTTGTTAGAGTTCCTGATCAGCGCTAACACATTTCGACACATAGGGAGCAGTACCAGGCAACAACTGACGTGTAGAACCGAGGCTGCGCCGCGTGACCAACACAAACTGTCCTGAAAACATGTAAAAATTCCATTTTATATTTTCAATTGAATGACATGCATGTACCACTATGCTGACCGAGTCTTCTTTCAAAACGACACTTACCCCTAATATGGCATGGAGGTAATAATACTGAGGGCTATACCGGTACTTGAAGTAAGAAGACAGGAAAACTGCCACAACAGTCCCTGATATTATCGCCTGAAAAACAAACAAATAGCAACGTCACTGTACATTTATCGCACGATTAAATAGCGTGAGGTCATCGTTTCGAAAAGCTCCGTTTTCAAAATGTTTTTCCGTTCACGCTAAAACGCAGAGCCGACGTTTTCAAATTCCTTTGGTTTAAAGGGGTTTACGAAAAGGTCCCTTTTCCTGATGGATTAATGTGAACGGCAAGCCTAACCGTTGACTAACGAAGCTGTGTTTTCAAATTTCTCCGGCGCAGTGTGTATACCATGCTCTCTACCAATATAACGCGCCTCGTTGGCTCGTAATATATTTTGTTTAAAACTCCGGTAATAATGCACAGCTAGCTTTCTCGGGTTGGTTCACTGAATCTCGGTTACCAACCATTATACCTGCGTTTGACCTTATATGGAAAATGAGTTTGGCGAGTGCCGCTTAGTTTAATTTTTTTGCCGGTAAATGAAAACTCTGTCGAAAAAAATGACTAAAAGAAGCACATTTGTTGAGCTTTCTATCGCGAAAATAAAGCAATAATGTACGCAATGCTACAATGCTACAAAAAAAAACAACACCAAAACTGAATTTCACTGTTAACTCAACAACTTTAAGAGTTTGATCTGAACCATTTACTCCAAAGGGCTTGTTTTAAAATGTACAACAGCGAATCAAGAAAACAAGCAAAGATTTCACGCAAAGATCCAAAACCCGACACGATATCGTTCCAGTTATTAGTGAAAACAGATTTCCGTATAAAATTAAGCTAAGCACTCCAGTAAAGTGTGTTACCCTACATACAATTGGGTCTTCTCCTTTCATACTTCAGTAAACTCGATTCTGTAGTCTTGACGTGGTGGCGACCACGTGGATAAGTAAACTCTTGCTTCATTTGGCTTGAACAAGGCGCATAATTTTCAGCAACCCCACTACTTCGGATCTTCACGTACCGGTAAACCTTTTGCTGTTCGTCGCATTTTTTCAGAATGTAGAAGACTATAGAGGTGATTACACGAAAAATATCTGTCTCGCTCACTTTCCTTGGCTTTATTCCACTCGAATTAGAAGTGATCAACGCGCCTCGTTCGCTATTTACCATTTGGTATCCAACGAGCGCTCATGGAGTAATTGTTTAAAAAACACACTCTGAACATGTTCTTAAAAAAAGATTCTCATGAAACAGAAAGAGTTTTTAAAATCAGATTTCTTTCAAAGAAAAACGCCTGGCTATATTTAATTTAATCCTTTAATCAGCGTTTTTCTAGACTCGTGTTATTTCACCTTCCCTCGTTTGTTTCTGTCGCAGAGTTACAGGAACAGTTTACAAGGGCGTGACGTAAGATCGCCCCATTTCCTAAACACTTGAAATAGTTTTCCTGCCAAACCCAGGGTACTCGCTTATCAATATTGTTCATCATAATCAATAATAACCGCAACGTAAACTACATTCCAATTTCACTTTGACATGGATATCAGAACAAGCAGAAAAATAATTCGTCATAATTCTAGGTGCTTTTGGAGAGAAGTTCTTCGAGTCGAATTATAAGAAATGATATTTTGCTGTGCTTTGCTCTTTTGGAGGCGAAATAACCTTTTAATCGAATAAACTATCAAGGTGTGTTTTTTTCTTGCGAACAATATTTGAAAGAAAAGCTTTCAGACCTCATAAATAATGTATTCTTAGTCGCGGCATTCATTGACAAATTTACTCCTTCCGGCTCGAAACTTGTTTAGACTTGCTCTCAGTAACGGCTAGTCTCAGAGTTGGTCATAATTTATGGTTTGTTAAAAAAAAAATAATAAAGATTCTTCTTCCTCTTTGGTTGTAGGGTCGGTGGAATAGTTTATCAGAACTATAGTTGTACGAAACTCGCATTCAAGAGAGTTCTATAGCCCTCACTGCATTAGCACAGTCTTCTCCTATTGTTAAGGCTGCAAAAAGCCTAAAGTTTAGTACGATTCAGCGTATTGGTTTTGAAGCGGCTATTAATAACTCAACGTTTTAATAGTTCTCTTGAGATTATGTAGGTGTAGGAATTTTGATACACAAGGCAGCCTTCCAATATCAAAACTTTATCTTGCTGACGAAATAATTGCAAGAGATCAGAAAATAATTAGTGTGCAGTAACTTAAAAATGTCAAGTTGTAATCTCAATTTCTTTCAATTAACCTGGCAATTAACGTATTGTGATAACACTATTTCCATCGATGTGGCAACAGAATTGAATGAAAGAGATTCGAAATTTTTCATTAACTGGAAACAAGAGGTAACTACCATGCAGCCAATATTTATCAATGGTGAGTTTTCGCTGAGTTTCGTTCAACCATTACAACGGATAAGTGCTTACCGATCCGAGAAAATTCCGGAGACGGCCGAGGGTTCGATGCAGCGACTTTCTAACTTTCATCTGTTTAGCCATGTGCGTCTCGCTTCTTAAATTCAATTCATCTGCGCTGTCAGTCGATGCTGCTTTCTTCAATGTTACTCGAATAGAGTGATCGTGTTAAAGCTTAGTTTTCCTACCACAAACGCCGGTTAAAAGTCAATGTGATCCCGGCGTTTCAGACACATGGGTAACAGCCAAACGCACGCGGATCACATCGCGGTGATTGGATTGTTGTGAATCACGACATCAGTCAATCAACAAAAGCTCTTTGTCTTTTGATGAGAACACAAAACAATCCACTGCGGTTTCCGGTTGGATGACCATTATGTCACATAGGAAAGAAGAGCGTTAAATCTTAAAAAAACAATTTTTTGCAGAACTCAATTTAAGCTCTCTCTTTCCCCCTTGCATCGTTTTAGTTTTCTCCGTCCATGCTACAGAAGGGGAAGACAATGGAATCAAAACCTTCTTTATCCGGCCTTTGTCTCACAAAAACGGAAAAATGAACGCCCATTCTGGCCAAAAGGTGAACCTTAATTTTATCTTTTCCTTCATTTCCGCCTCATTTAATTACTAGCCTGCAACACAGCACGGTGGATATTGAACAACGCGAAACACGCGTGGCTGGTCACTTTCCGGCCACCTGGGCTGCCATGGTGGTTAACGTAAAAACCCTTAAAAACAACACAGAAATGTGGAAGCGTACGTCA